CGCGGGCCGCGGAGGCGCGAGGCCGCGCGAAAATTCTACTATTATGACGATATGGTGTTGGCAGCCCGAGCTCTTGTAGGAGTTCAGCGAAACGCGTTCGCTGAGTCTGAGGAGAACACATTGACAGCAGCTCACCAAGGTACCTTCCTCGAATAACGTTTTACACTGCCACACAAACAAAACGATCATGCAGGAGTATTGACTCAACATTTCCGGTACGCTGTCCAGATTTTGAAAAGGGTAACGTCCAAGTCCCTGAGGTAGCTGATAAAACGAAGTCTTTGCAACGCGCTCGCAACAGCTCCCCGCTTCTGGCAAAGGTGTGAAAACCCAGGATTAACAGAACAGTTGTCTCTCTCCACCCGCCATTGAAAGCAGCCTGTGCCAAAGCATATAACAGTAAGGGCGTAAAGGGCGTAAAGGGCGTAAAGGGCGGAGCCCGACACGGGAGTTCAGCACGACCCCATGCTGCATGCAATCTCCAAGCTGCAATCATATGTGGTTTGCATGCAGGAATGAAATTACCAATGCCGCTGAAAGCATCTGAAGCATACCCTTTTGGTTCACCATCTGCACATAGATCTTGGACGAACTGACAAAGAAAACGACCCAGCTTTAGAAACGAAGTTGGGTAAGACTTTCCAGTAATTACCCTTAATAAGAAAGGCAAAACACCGTGAAGCACCGACCAAGTAACGCCCTTCAGTCTTACGTAGGTGAAACAACCTAGCTACGTAGTTGACCCAGTGCTTTGCGCTCTTGTTTCCGCTCTTCCTTGGTTGGCTTCTGTAAGACCTGCCGTCTAGGCATCACGCACTGCTCGGCGAGCGACCCATCGAGATGGGCCATCACTTTTTCGCATTTTCAACCGCAGTGGTCTGGTCTGACCTACTAGCGAGCCAGTTACACACGGTATATTACCGCGGCCGCTCAGTGGCAGCGCTGGCCTGTCAACAGCTACAAAGTAAAGCACAAGAACCGTAGTTCAAGACTGCACCCTCAGGCTCAAGTGCACACAGTCGCTAGTCCCAGCGTTCTCGCACTTACTAACTAGGAGAGCAGACTACGGGAACCCAACTAATTGAGATCAACAGGTACCCTAGGTCAGGGCCGAGAGGCGGCACCACAAGGAAACTTCTGCAGCAAGTGGGAATCCAGAGGCCTGGTTGCCGTAAAGCCTGGCAACCGCAAACGGCCGATGTCATCTCATAGAAGCATGTTGGTGCAGTGGGCCGTACTTCGGCACCCAACTTTGAGACTGCTCCGCACCATATCACCAAAGCATCGGGCCCATCATCATCTCACAAGCTCTGTGGGTTGTATGCGTCAGGCCACAACGACGCACAATGGGGCGAAGATGATTCAAATAGATCGCAACTTTCTCGCGCATACTCATTGCAGATCTGACAGTCAGAGCATACACAAACTCAAACCAACCCCAAGAGCCCCTGAACAGAGGATGAGCTGAACGCTGGTCTTGTAAGGCCCTCCGGATTGTTAGGGATATGGGGCCGCAGACGGCTTCCCAACGCCCAATTGCTGTAAAAACTTGCAGTCGCCAAGCCCAAAGAGTGCAGGTAGAAAAATACACCAACTGTTGCCAAATCACCATAAAACTAACCAAACCGTTCGGCATATCTCCAATCCCAGGAATCCAGGAAGAACTGGTGCTCAACTGCAGAAAATGGAGGAGCACACAGCACCATAGAAGCACAGAAGAAGGGACATGCTGACAATATAAAACAGAAAGGCTCAGGCGCGAGCACCCTGGCAGCGCACCTGCTGCACCGTGTAGCTGTTGCCGGCTTGCATACACATATAGCCTTGCCAGTATCTTCGCCAATCTTGAAGGTTCGTCACAGAAAAAGAGATTGGCTCCCGTCACTGCACTGGTATCAGTGACAACCCAAACGTCTGTCTGCAGCTCCTCAATCACGAGTAGTGGGCCTGCTGTACTGTAGCCCATCTGGTATTGCAGACTGCCGGACTTGGGACCGACACAGCTCACAATGTTCATAGTGGAAAAACTGGATCCATAGTACGAAAAATGCTGGAGTCTTGTAAGTAACGTCCCTTTGGCACCTTAAATAGGGGCCAGGCCCTGGCAGACCTGCAAAGTGCACCACAAGGCGGGTCTCTGCGAAAAACTTGCGCACTGCCAAAACTCCACAGTAGAACCAGCAAAAAAAAGGCGTGGGTTCTCTGCCACTGTGTCTCCATACAGGGGTGTGCCACATCGCGTAGCACACCTCATCTTCCCCAGCAGCAGCAGGCCTGCAGTGCCACAATCCCGAGTGGGAATTTAGTGGATGCAGGAGCGAACAAACCCAGGCATACGTCGCCACGTACTGCTTCAGATTCACGCTAGCCCAAATGAGAAGCTCCAGCAAAGCAATCAAGAGAATCTCAGAGAAACTCAGATACCAAAATTGCTCATCATTGTCTGCGCCCGACACCACATCCAGCTTTGTATGTTGCAGTGAATCATGCAGAATAATCATGTTGCACAGTCTCAAGAAAATGCAACGCATAAGCCACAAATACCAATCATGCGAAGCAGAAATACCATGCAGCCAAAGCCTACCTGTAATCTCCATCACAAGCAGCATCTGGGGGCCGAAAAACAGCATCCCCACGGCACCGCACAAAGAGACCATGCTATGAAAACTACGGGTCCAGCGTCCAAAGGGGGCCCGGTTGAAAGAAGAACCTGTTTGGCCTCGAACCTGGTTAACCCCCTAAAACAGCGCAAAACTTGAGCCGAGACGCTTAGATGGGCCATCAGCCGGGTTCCATTCGGACTTGACCCAACCAAGAAGAAGGCGGAAGGGACCGGCCAACAGCAAACTTGAAATGCGCCGTGTTGGTCCTTGGGGCTGCTTTTCACTGGTACGGCCCTTCGTGAGGATGGCAATCACAGCATGGTTGTCGATCAGGATCAGCACGTTCGACTTGCACCAGGCTTTTAGGCGAGCCTGCTTCTTCAGCAAGTTCAGCACTGCGATCGCCTCCAGCAGAGTGATGTGGCCAGGGCATCGTCACTTGTGAGACATAACAGCCTTCCAGTTCCGCATTGCAGGGTCAGTGCTCCGCCGGCAGAAATCAGACGCCATTAAGGGGGCCTGCATGTCAAGCCGCACGTCACTCCCTCGATGAGTCACATTTTGTGAGATGAGGTGGGCCAGGAGTTGCTCATCGGTCCAAGACGTTGGCAA